GCTGAAGCTGTTCTTGGATCTTTCAGCAGTTCTGCCCATGGGGAATGATGTCATTCACTCTCAATGTCAGACACACACAAACACACACACACACTGAAGAATGTAATAACACAGAGTAACACTGATTCCCTCACACACATCCATTCAGAACATCCTGCCTGAAAACGGCTACAACACACACATGCTCATACTTAAAAACATTCGTCAATGTAAATGAGACACATTCAACCTTTTCATTCACACACACACACACACACCTATATGTATGTTAATGTGTGTCTAACCAAACATTAGCATAATCTTTGTGTGTGTGTGAGAGAGAGAGAGTGGGTTTGGGTGGAGTGATATTTCATCCTCCTCCACAAATCTGTACCAGATGATTGTAAACAGCTCCATATGACATCAACACACACACACACACACAGCAAAAAGTGTTTTTCTGTTTGAAATAAAGTAGTAATTAAAAATATGAGAACATTACTCATGAACAATATATGATGAGTGAATGAAACACGCACACACACACACCCTCGGGCTGATGCAACAGAACACTCCATCTGTTGACCAACATTTGTAGAGGGTATAATTAGTATAAATTATAGAATATAAAATCGAAATATTCCACATTTAAATGTTTCTGTAATAATTTAAGCATAAAAATAAGAGAATAGCGCATATAAGTGATGATGACAGGCCAATAATGAACATTAAATATAAGAAACAGGAGCATTAGTGGAGTTTCAGCAGGTCATCATGGCGTCGTCAGTTAGTGAGATGAGCTCAGACACACGGTCATTCATCAAGCCCAGTCCACAGAGGCCTGACGGTAAAGTACTTTGTTGAGCAATATTCACTGAACAGTTTATATAAATACCACATTAAACTGTTCAAACATGTAAATAAATGTTTATATTTCGATATTTATTTTAAATACATGATCTTTCTCTTCATCCAGAATATTGTTGACAGTTTAACAGAAACAGCGGGCAGAGAAACTGTTGCTATGCAGCGGCGATGCAGAATATGAGGACTGAAGCATCACGTGACACACTATTAACATCTATTAAATATTCCACCAATGACAAATATTTGTTTAAAATTACAAACAAACAAAAAAATTATTTGAACATTTAAAGTAGGAAAGATAAATCAGTGTGGTAACTACACAGCATTTACTGCAGAGCACTAATAAACAATCTAGAGATAGACATAACGGGTAATAAAGAAATATGGAGCGAAGAGGACATTCAATAATAATATCAACATTAATAATTCATTTAAAGAAAGTAACTAACAAAACATCTCCGCTCATTGGACAGTCGAGTCACCTGCGTCCAATCAGAGGCGTCTTGAGGGGCGCGTTTGCCCCGCCCCGCCCACACTCCACACCCCTCCCCCAGCAGCTGCACACAGGTGAGTGCGCGCACACGAGCAACAGCGTAGAGCGCTCCCGCGATCACGGCGGCGGAGAACCGAAAAGAACCGAGCGAAACCGGACATGAGACTCGATTCCCTGAGGGCGGAGTGAGCAGACCGGCGGCGTGGAGCACCGGAGACCGTAACCGTGACCGTGAGTACTGATGCTTTCATTCCTGACACGAAAACCGAGGAGTTCCGCGCGCGGTCAGAGTTTCGCGCGCATTCCGCAGATTTACGACTCTAAACTTTTCTTAGTTGAGTCGCGGAGGAGCAACGAGTGTTTCTCGGTGTGTTGTGTGTGTGTTTGCTGTGTGTTGTGTGTTGTTGAGGTGTGTTTAGTGAGTGTTCGCGCGACGCACCCAGAATACTGCTGTTCCTGATCTTAACTAACTCACACACTTATACGCGCGCACACACACATACTCTCACACACACATACACACTCTCGCACACACATACTCTCACACACACTTTTACAATTCACAACTATGACCAATAACCCGGGCGCTTCCTCACACAGCTCAGCCTTGAGAATGAGAACACACTCAAGACTTTATTTCTCTACCTGTGTTCACTGCAGTGGTTGAAGCACGACGGCCGCAGCCGCTCATCAGCTGAGTGTTGTTTCGCTTTAGGAGTTGCAGAGATCTGCTGTGGGCGTTTATCACCGGTTTATGAGTGTGTTGCTCTTATAAATAAAATAGAAATATTGTTGGTCTCATACACAGTACGCTATACAGTAAAACACTTCAACAGCTGCCTGTGACCTTAAAAACACCAACAATATTAATGAGAATGTAAATTATGGAGGATTACAACACCAAGAGTTTTAGATATATAAATACAAGAAAATAACATATAATAGATTTAAAACTAAGCAGGGCCAGAAATTTGCCATTTCTACACAGAATGTTGTTTAAAATTATAATTAAATGTCTTTATCAGGAATAATTTTGGGAACTGAACACTTTAAAACATCAATACACACACACACACACACACACACACACACACACACACATATATATATATATATATATATATATATATATGTGTGTGTGTGTGTGTGTGTGTGTGTGTG